TGTCTGCCTGCGATGCACATACGATGCAGTAAGCAAGAGGTACTGTTAACCACTGGCATACCAAAGCCCTCTATCCTCTATCTCTGCCCTGATAGATTTCTTTTTCTACCTTGAAGATGTTAAGAGATTGCGGGAAAATGAAAGATGGATTTGAGAGAATCACCACCTCTTTCTTCTTTTTACTGGTTTCCGCCCTCTGCTTTCGACACGACAAGCAACTTGACGGTGCTCATTGCTATCGATGTTGGGGTGTTCATTCCTGTTTAGCAACTCTAGATCGTCCTCTTCTGGACAGTGGATCCTCACCTGGGGAATAGGGACAAGACGAGTGATCTTCTACATCGGTGGTTCAATCAAAGCTCTCTGTGATCGGAGCTCATGGTCACCTCTCTTTCTCGCGACCTCTCTCTCTCTCTCCCCTCCTCTTCCACTTCCTTTGTTCCTCCACAATGGATTTGGTACTTCCCTCTCGCCACCTCTTATTTCCCTCTTTTGTCAGTTCCTCAGATGTTCCGTCCATTCCTCCGATGTGGAACGCTTTGAAAGGTTAGGGTTTCGCAAATACCGGTGCTGGTGCCAGAAGTTAATAACAAGGTTAAGTTGGGTATTTTTAGAAATTACCCGCTTTGGACCTACYGGTTCAGTCCCAAACCTGTGCACAACCTGATATGGGTTGGTCCAAGTCAATCCACCATTGATTGAACCAGTCTAGTTTGGTTTGACTGGACTGATCCGAATCCAAATGGTTCAACCACTCTTGATGTGATTAGCTCGAAGACAATCCAATTGCATAGTTCAAGTTGGTCTGGTCGGTTTAAACCTAAGTGGTTCGGTCAAACCCATTACCCAAACATAGTCAAATGGCTTCGCCACTTGTRTAAAAATAACATACATGTAATGTGATTTGAACTTTCACCACTTATGTAAATAACAACTACTATTATCCTTTTTTTTTAAAGGTAAGATAAATTTTAAAACTAACTCATAAAGTACAAAATAGAACCTGCCAATAAATGGACAGGCCTGAGGGACTCCCATTACAAGCACCAAATTGACTAAGTTCTCAATAGATGAGTTACATTTGAGTGTCTAAATTTAGGAGTGACTGAGATCCAACAGAGCAGTTTACCAATAGGCAACTGAACTATATCCTCGGCCCCTCTCACTTTTTGATTAAAAATTATATTGTTTCTCTCAGACCAAATGGCCTAAATCACAACTGTCGGAATAGTAGTCCAAACCAATTTCCCTCTTTTCTTCAAATTACTGATTTTCCAACAACATAGTAATTCCTTAACTAATTTAGGCATGACCCAACAAATCCCCACCACCTTCAAGAAGTGATGCCACACCCGAGTAGCAAAAGGGCAATGAATGCATATATGATCCGTAGTTTCCAGATGATCATCACAAAGGACACAGGACTTATTAAGAATCAGCAAACCTCTTCTCTCAAGATTGGTTCGGGACAAACATTTGTCCAATGCCATTGTCCAGACTAAAAAATTAACTTTAGAAGGGCAGGTTGGGCTCCAAATCTGTTTAGCAGGGAAATCTCCCACTGCCACTCTACTACCAAGTCTACTAGCCATTGATTTAACTAAGAAAACACCTTCTTTGGACCAAATTCACCGGTCATTCTGATTGTGGTTGATGATTTAAGCTTGTATAGTCCCCAACAGATTTGAAGCTTCTTGAATTTCCGAGTCAAAAAGACCTCTTCTGAATTGGGGAGCCCAAAACTGATTAAGTTTCAGCAACCGAGGCATCCTGGTTGGAGACACACTAGAAGATAAGAGGGAATTTTTCAGACAATGAATGATTCAAACACCAATGATCTTTCCAAAATTTGATTCTATCCCCTTTTCTGACTTTGAGGCTGATTCCCCCATCAAACAATAGAGCAACTTTCATGATACTTTTCCATAAGGAATAACCCCAATTAGGTGGGGGGGTTTTATTTTTCCAGTTACCCCACTCAACCCCAAATTTAGATGCAATTAGGCTTCTCCACCAAGCTTTCCTTTCAATGGTAAATCTCCATATCCATTTACACAGCATAGCTGAATTTGTCACCTTAATTCTTCTCAAACCAAGACCCCCTTGTTCCTTAGGAAGGCAGATTTGGTTCTAATTCACAAGGTGGATTTTCCTTTCTTCCTCCCAACCCCTCCACAAAATGTTTTTTCGGAGAGTCTATTTTCCTAGCCACTTTATTTGAGATAGGGAAAAGGGACAGAAAGTAGGTAGGGAGATTAAAGAGAGTACTTTTTAGAAGGGTCATTCTACCACCAAAATAGAGATGCTTAGCTTTCTAAGATGACAATTTCCTTTCCAATCTTTCAATTATTGGATCCCATATGGCAACAGAGGAACATTTAGCCCCCAATGGAAGGCCCAGGTACTTTACTAGAAGCTAATCCACCTGACTAGCCAAAACATTAGCACAATCTTCGAGTTGTCTTTCAAACTTGTGACAACTTCAGACCAATTAAGGATCCCAATCAGATTATCCAGCTGATCAAGAGAAGCATCTAAAAAGCATAAGGTATCATCCGCAAACTGAAGGATGTTCACTTTTTCACCCCTAGGGAAATTGCAAACCCTTCCCATAGACCAGATGTTGTTGCCTTTTGATTAAATAGAGTAAGAATCACTACAATACAAATAAAGAAAAGGGGAGAAAGGGTGTCTCTCTACCTTAACCCTCTAGAGCTCTCAAAGAAGCCTGCACATTGACCATTAATCGGAATAAAAAATTTGGGGGAAGAAACACAAACTTTCATCCAATTTCTCTACTTTTGCCCAAAATTCTTTCCAGAACTCTGTCTAAACAATTCCAATTAACATGATCATAGACTTTTTTAATATCCAGTTTATAAACCAAACTTGGACTCCCCTCTCTCATCCTTGAATCCAACAACTCATTTGCAATAAGAATTGAATCAATCATTTGCCTACCCAGCACAAAAGCACTTTGATTTTTCGAGATCACACTATCCAAAACCCCTTTCATCCTTTCAGCTAAGACCTTGGCCAAAATCTTGTAAAAGCTTATTTAGAAGGCTAATTGGTCTGAAATCTTTAACATGTACAGCCCTTTCAATCTTAGGAATGAGAGTGATAAAGACATTATTCAAGCTCTTTTGAAGAGAGGCATTAGAATGGAATGACCGAAAGGCATTTAGGATATCTTGCTTCACAAAATCCCATCACTTAATATAAAATAAGTTGGAAAAGCCATCCGGTCCAGGGGATTTCTCATTGTCCAAGTCGTTGATTGCCATCTTAATCTCCTCCTCAGAAAAAGGTTTTTCAAGAGAAATCCTTTGATCTTCACTTAGCCTTTTAAAAGGAAGGCCTATGGGGAAAGGTATGTATTTTCAATTCTCCTTATAGAAATTTTTGTAAAAAGAGGTAGCTATTACTTTGATTTCTGCATCCGTGGCACCCACCTTATCATCCCAAATAAGTTTGCTGATTGTGGATAAGATATTTTGTTTATTTATTTATTTATTTTATTTTTTTTGCATTTGTCAGCTTGTGAAAATAGTGAGTATTCTTATCTCCCGCTTTCAGCCATTTAGATTTTGCTCTCTGTCTCCATTTTAATTCTTCTTTGATTGCCAAATTGTATACTGCCTTTGCTTGAATTTTTTTAAGTTTAAGCTCTTCAGAAATTGGACCAACTTCCTCTGCTCTATCAATATTAGTAGTAAGACCTAGACAAGCCTTCTTCTCTGTTTCTGCATTCAGGTTATTTTCCACTTTCCAAACTTTCAGCTTCTCTTTAACTGTCCTTAGCCCRCTTTCCAAATAACAACTACTATTATCACCAAGCTATGACTAACTTATTTGTCAAATGGGAGTTAGTTTTTTGTTTTAAGTACATAAAGTATAAGATTAATGGGTTTGGGTAGGTTGGATTGGGTCAAGACGGGTTTGGGTTGAACCCAACCCATTTAATTTTACATAACTGGGTCATTAATGGATTGGTGGGTTAGATGAATTAGGTTGAAGGTACGGGTGTCCATGAAAAACCAAAAAATTGAACCAAACCAAGAAAACCGAACCGCAAAATGTGGTTAACCGAACCGATCGGTTCGGTTTCGATTTGGATTGTTTGAAAAACCGAAGGACCGATTTGGTTTTCAGTTAACCGAACCAAACCGAACCGACCGATATATATATATATGTATATTATATATATATTTTTAATATATGTCACATATTTTCTATATATTATATATAAATATATATTCATTTTATTTATAATATATTATATATCACTTATTATTTATAATATAATATTATGTATATATTTATATAATATATATTATAAATATAAAAACCAAAACTGGCGGACCGGTTAACCAGTGGTACCGATTCAGTTTCGGTTTGGAGAAATGAAAAAACCAGTACCACCAGTTCGGTTTGCAAAATATGCCCATGGTTTGATTAACCGAACCGTGGGCACCCCTGGTTGAAGCTCAACCCAAACCAAACCAAACCAAACCCAACCCGCCCAATTGCCACCGCTAATGACAGTTCGCAATTCTTTCTACCCGTTGTTGGTTGGAATGTCCCCCATCTGAAGAGCTGGCTGACCAATCAAGCGCTCTGAACTCTAAATTAGGCACCTTTTTTAACATATCGTTTTATAATATGGTGTTGTTGACTGTGAGGAACCTGAGTCAGGCCAAAAAACAGGGTATATGAGTATATCATTGGTTTGACCAGTCAAAGTATTTCCATTTCTCCCATCCACAGTTCTTAGTTTCTTTTTTTTTTTTTTTTGATAGAGCAGTAGGTTATACAAAATAATACAGTTCAACTCAAGGCTATCTATTTGATTAAGTGTTAAGTAAGAATTCATATCTGCAAGATGGAGAATTATATTCTTGAGGTGAACCGAGTTAGGGTCCTTTTCCATAGAGGTATGGTAGTTTTGTTCTGGATTACTTCATATCCAACCATCTAAATTGACAGATTGTCACATCTAACTCTGAATGATATAACCTCTGTTTTTCTCTCAGCAAATTCCAAAAATATCACTTAAAAATTTACTGTACCACTAGAAACTAGAATGGAGTTACTAGTTTGAACCAGTATAAAGGTTGACAAAATGACTAGTGATATGACTCTACTACAGAGGAATATGTTCAAATGGCATCAAACGAAAGAGGGAAGGACAAAGAAAATAAAACATAATTGTTCATCTTTGCACATGTTAGACACAAATTGCACATAATTTACTTGACCACAATAATACCATTCCATAATGTCCTAGTCAAACTCTGTTGTAACACCTTGAACATCACATGTACGTTCTTTGCAATCCAGTTTACCCCACCTTGCATCCACTCGCCGGCATGGGAATATGGGCTTACCAAGACTGTTGAAAACAAAAAGATAAGGTTTATGCACATTAAAAATAGTCAATTCTGCTAGCTTCTTAAGGTGGTTAGACCTAGTTAGCCTGGAGTTTCAATCCATTTTCCATATCTAGGATGTCCCTCATTGATTGGCTGGTTTGGAATGATGAATCAATGGGCCACACCACCGTATTGAGCTTAGGGCTCAAGTAAACAATAAGCCAATATTTATCATTTAGCTTCTCTTTACTGAAATAAATGTGGTATTGTTACATTTAATCACCAATAGTCCAATTATACAAGGTACCTTCTGTTGACAACATTGTGTACATGGCACAGCCATTGTGAGAACTCAGCTTGTGATTCTGCCTGTACAGGGCTTGCTCTGTCAAACATTGCATACAAAAGAACATGCAATCAACTGAAGAATAACATAGAGTGAAAACTTATTAAAACAAGTTGGACACCGAAGCATCCTATGTTCTTCTTTTAGAGGAAATGTTGCATGAAAAGCAATTCACCAATTAGTCCCTAACTTTTAGAACTGATTTAAAAGCTTAACCTTCCTTCTTCAACTAGCACATAAAATGTAGCTAGGTAATAGGGTCAATCATCATAATCATCATTAGGGGTGTCAAAGGACCGGTTTTGGATTGGATCCAATCTGATCCAAAGCTTATCAATTCAGATTTGGATGGTCTGTTATAATTATTGGGTTGAACCAATCCAAAATAAATTGGTTCATGTTCTTATCGGCTTGAGTCAGACCAAGCCAAATTCCTAATAATTCGATCATGAGGCCAAAACCTTGTCCAGTTTGAAACTGATCAAAACTGAAGTCGAAACCTTGGAAGTTTGAAACCCTTTGAAGGCTCAACATTTGAAACCCCTGTTTGAGGTTTGAAGGCTGAAATCCTTGTTTGATCGCTGAAAGCAGCCCTTCTCTGGAACTCTAGAAATTTGGAGGAACCAAGTTTCTCCCAGCCTCCGACAACCATTCTCTCTGGCGGCTCTTCTCTCCAACGTACATTCTAACTAGAAAATGATATCTCTTATCTTCAGCGGCTTCTCTATCTGGTGGAATATTACAACGCTTTTTTCCATTTTTAGAGCTACTTATTCAATGAAAGAGGTGTGTTCTTCTTCAGTTGTTGATTTGAATGTAAAACATCATATATGCCGTAGATTTGATATGATATCTTCAATAAATATATTCATATGTTTATATCAAGCTATCCAAATTAATTCAATTTGTTTTAAAGGTTCAATATTTAGATCTTAGGGTAGCAAATGGATTAGATTAAATTGGATATACCTAGTCCTAATTTGATTTATATCAAACTCAGATTGAAATTGGATATTGAATGGCATTAATGAATGGATTGAAATCCGATCACCCTTAACCAGATTAAATCTGAATTCAAATGTAGACAAACAGATACCTTTTGTCGAGAGCTGGGTAAAAGGCTTAGGTTTAACTTTCTTAACTTTTTCTATCAAGCCCAAATACAAAGTCCACAATGGCTTAAAGTATGTCCTAAGTGGCTAAGTTAATAAAGTCTCTAGTTGATTATAGCATATGCATTCTCATTTACATCTTCTTAGTTGAATATTTAGTTGTTACAATTATGTATCTTATTATTTGTTGTTGTTGTTGTTTATTTTTTTCATTCTTGATGTATCAAGGATGAATGAACCTGGCATTGAAAATGCAAGCAATTCTGAAGATGTCAATGAAACATTTATGGCATCAAGTTCTAGTAGGAGGACTAGATCTAAAGCTTAGGAACACTAAAAATATAAGATCGGATTCTGGGGAGGAAAAAGTTGTTTGTAAATATTATGGAAAACAGTATATGGGAGGAGTAGGAAGGGACAAACCACTTATTAGGGCATTTACCAAGATGTCCTAAAATGAAGGAAATGGGAACTAGTCAACAACAAGTTGAAGGGGACTTTAAATTTGAGCAAGATAGGAGCTAAATAGACTTAGCAAAGATGATAATGATGCATGGACATCCTTTTAGCATAGTTGAAGAGTTTTTCCAGATATTTATTAATAATTTTCAACCATTATTTAGGTTTGTTTTGAGAAATACAATAAAGAATGATGTCATGAAGATTTACTTAAATGAAAAGGAGAAGTTATATAAATACTTTGATGGTTTGTCTTGTTGGATTAGCTTAACCATTGATATGTGGACTTTAGAGCAAAAGTTGTAGTATTGTTGTTTAATGACACACATTATAGATGATGGATGGGAGCTAAAGAATAAAATTATTGCATTTGTGGCAGTTGATTGTTCCCATGATGGAAACACTTTGTATGAAGTTGTTATGGAGAGGTTGTTGGCTTGGAACATTGATAAAAAAAATATGTTCTATTACAGTTGACAATGCCTCTAACAATGTTGTTATGGTTAGAGAGCTTAGAAATCGACTCTATGTTAAGGGTTTGCTCCCATTGCATGGTGACCTATTTCATGTGAGATGTGCTGCTCACATCTTGAACCTTATTATGCAAGATGGAAGAAATATCACCATACATAAGATTCAAGAAAGTGCTAAATATGTAAGGTTGACACCACATTAAAAGCAAAATTTGACAATGCAAGAAGCCAAGCAAAAGTATAGCATAAGAGGGGTAGTTGTTGATTGTCCAACACAATGGAATTCCACATATGACATGTTGGACACAATTTTAGAGTAGAAAGAAGCATTTTGTTGACTAGCTAAACTCGACCGTGACTATAAGAGTCTGCCATCTGATAAGGAATGGGAGATGAGAGTAGTGATACTGGATTTTTTACATCTGCACAAAAAATTTCTCAATTACTACTTCCCCAACCTCAAATGTATTTTTTTTTATCAATAACATCAATTTCATTAAATTAAGAGAATAGAGGGAAAGGAATACAAAGGGAGATAAAATAACTTRGCTYCMMAAAAATCAGAAAACTCAGGGAAAGCAAAGAAAATTAAAAACTAGCCCAGAAAACAGCCTCCCTATTCACTCCTTGCTTGGCCAACCCATCCGCAAATGAG